CCCTGGGCGACGCGCTGAGCGACCCGCTGCCGCGCTCGTATTTGCTGCGGCTTCTCCCCGAGTACTGAGCCCTCTCCGCGGAGCTGTCGGGGGTAAGGCTGGAAAAGCCACTGTCCCTGGAGCTGAGATGCAAAGAGGAGAAGTTTTTGGTCAGCGCGTACTGGGTGGGAGAGGAGCTTCGGGATTGGTTTATGGGCGTGATCTGCTGATGCTTGACGGGCGCCTGCGTGCGCCGCACCGCCGCCGCGTAGGAATCCTGGTCGCTGAAGTACGGGAAGTGCGAGCCCAGCATCGGGTTGCTCTGCGAGCGCTGCAGCGACGTGTGGGACGCGATCTGCCGCAGCCGCAGCGTGTCCAGCCACTGGCAGTCGGCGCCTGCGGGAGGCACGGGAACAGTGAGTCTCCTGAGCCCCCGAGCTGCACGCCTGACTCAGCCTGCCTCTGGTCAGTCCAAGCCTGTTTGGGATGCTCTAGCTTCACCATTCATAGAAATTCTAGGCTGTACAGGCATTTCCTTCATTATACATAAAAAAAANTGCTCTAGCTTCACCATTCATAGAAATTCTAGGCTGTACAGGCATTTCCTCCATTATACATAAAAAAAAATTAAAGGCNAAAAAAAAAATAAAGGCATTTACACTATCTAGTTACACACATATACTATATGCTTAGCTTTGTTCCATAGGCTTACTTATATCAGCCCTCTCACTAATCTTCTCAGGTAAAGACTAATAACCTTATTCTATAAGAGAGGAGGGAGTTTGGGGAGTAAGTCACTGGTCCAAGGGCACTCAGGTGATAACCCCAGGTCCTCGTGCATCTAAATCCCACCTTCTCCCACTGGGCCGTGTGGGCGCTTCTGAAAGCGCTGTGTGAGTGTGTCTGGATGGCAGGGGCACATTTAGAAAACGAAAGGCTTTTTGCCAGCGAGCACTTCTAAATCCTCAAGAACTCTGCAGGCAAAAGAAATTGGATTCCAACCATGGAGACAGCTAGAGATTGTTTGGAAGAAAGACAGTTCATATCTCCAGAGGAGATTCCTGAGGTTCAGGAAGAAGGGAAAAAAATTTTTCTTTTGCATGGTAAATTAAGCTTCACAGCAAACAGGAAGAGGCTCAGGTAAAAGAAAACGGTCAATTAACAGGAACCATTTCGTAAGCTATATTGCAGCAAAGAAGCAAGTTCCTCATGCCCGGGCTCTTTTCTGTCTCCTTCAGGGCCCACATTCTTGAGTTCCCTGGTGGTCCCCCTGAACTCCTCTGCCCTGCTTGTCAGATGGAGCTTCTGCAGAAAGCCAGAGGGTGCTCGGTTCTCTCTGCCAGCAGGTAGCCTCCCTCCCTGCTCTGCACGGGTGACTCAACCTCTGCAGTGATTGTGCAGATACCGGGATCTCTTGTGTCCAGACACACCTCACAGCCTTCATCCAACCTCAATGCCCTCTTTCTTTCATCTTGACTTCTCTGACTTTTAACTTCCAACAGAGCCCTGACTTTGTTCTGTGTCCAGCCCCCTCCACGAAGCCACGTGAGCCAGGGAAAGCTGACCACATTCTGGCTCTAGTGGCAGATTTGATAAGTCCAAGCCACATGTAGTAATGTCACGTTTAGGAATGGACATGATGCTTGGTTCTGGCCAAAGTAACCTGAGGGGTAGTTGCTGAGGGTTTCTGGGCAAGTCTTTCTCATTCCTAAGCATGAGAACAAGGGAGGGATTGACCCTTAATTTTCTCTGTGCATTGCCATATCTTTATGTGATGACTGTGAACACGAGAGAAGCTAGGCCGAGGGCAAAGGCAACATTAAGGATGGCAGAGTGGAAAGGAGGAAAGGTTCCTTCCTCATCCTTAATGTAGTTGAGCTGGCTTATCTTCTGCACCTCGAGCCCAGCCTAACTTTAGGCTTCTTGTTATGGAAGATAATAAATTTTATTATAGTTAAAACTCATGGTTTGAGAACTTTAGAATGCCTCTGAGTCACCAAAGGGTTTATTAAAATGCAGTTTCTGATTCAGCAGGTCTAGGGTAGGCTTGAGAATTTGCATTTCTAACAAGTTCCCTTGATCCTGAGGCTGCTGGTCCTGGGGCCACACTTTGTGCTATTGGGAAGGAGTCAGTTAAAGTTGGATTTCCTGTTACTTGCAGCTGAAAACTATATTCTAACTGATCCAGGTGGTGTCTTCTGAGCTTTCACATCAAAAGAGTAAAAGAAATACAAGGGGGAAGGGAGGGAGGCAAACTAGCTAAAACTGGAGCAAGTGAAAGGGAGGTCAATCCCCCCTTTTATCCTGCAACCTCTCCAGTTAACAATCAGAGGAAAAGGTTTATCCAAAGCCATTCCACTGGAAGATTGAAGGCTACTCACTATTCCTGTGTACAAGCTTAGAGAAACAATTTGCTTCCTCCCAAAAGATTTAGATTTAAGAGAAGTAGAGGACACCTATTAGACATCTGCCCATTGCCATCTTTTGGGAATCTCCACCCACATGGTTACAGTAATCCTGCACAGTATGTCCTCACCACCCACCACCACCTCCCCCTGTTGATACAGTTCATTGGTCGAGGAGAATGCTTGAAAAAAAATAGCACCAATAAATCTTACCCCAGGGAATCTGGAAATGGGACTGATAAAGTATTTCTTTGGTGATTCTCAAAGTGATGGGAGTCAAGCGATGTAAAACCTGGAAGCAGTTGGCAGCTGTTTTGTGTCATGTGGATTGGGAAACAGAATACCAGCTTTTAGTAAAAGAGAAAAATACAGCAGAAGTGGAAAGCGAAGACTCCCACAGATTTCAAGGGTGGGGTGCTGTATGGATCAAAGGTGTTGTATGCATCAAATGGGATCATGGCTATGAAAGCCCTATAGAAGTAAAATGTGCCTTAAAATATTAATTATTTGGGAGGGGAACAATTATTATAGTAAGAAATCCTTAAAGGCATGGTAGTAGGCATGTGACACAAGAGTGTTGAATTAGCAAATGAGAGAACTTAGAAACAGAGTGCCTTCTGTAGAGAAGCTAGTGAGGACCAGCACCTACTATATGGGTTAATCACGCATAGAGACAGCGGCCCTAAGACATGCTTGAAGATGCGTTTGAGGCTGAGAAGGCTGGTAAAAACTCAACCCAGTGGTGTCAGAATATCTTCCTGTGATTAATTGTGAAAGAAAATAATCAAATCAACGGTGTTGACAGAGGAAGGCAGGTCCAGCATGCTATCAAATAATTTGTTGGGGGGTTTGGAGTACTGTCCAGGATTCTAGGCGTCCTGGCCGGTGCATATTTAAAAATATCTGGCCTGGTTGGCAAGCCAGACCTTACAGTAGAGGACATATACCCAGGCTCTCATAACTCAGAGACACTAGCCATCAGGGTATTTTTGTCTCCATGTCAACAAAAAGCCTTCTGATATGTCTTCTCAGGTAGATTTTCTTACTGGGAAAAAATGCACTCATCAGAAACCATGTATTTCTGGTCTGTTTGCAGGTATATTTCTCATGGTAAAAACTGAACTGCATGGGGTTTGTACACTCACCTCCCATGTGTTAATTTTAGCTTGTTGCAGTCCTACAGAACCTAACTCTGGGTTATATTTGAGTTTCTGGACCTACAAAGGTGAAAGTCAGAATCTCTTCCCTGAATCTACCAAATGATGACCAATTTACTATCAAGTCAGCTGGCCTTTCTCCATGTTATTTCTAAATTTTTCTTTATATATCTGTAATTACCATCGCCACTACCCATCATATGCATTCCATGTCTTCTCTTTCTCTATCCTCCCTTACCTTTATTTTCCTCTTCCCTCCCTC